GGGGTTCAATCAGACCATCATCCCTCTGGGGTCAATAAATAAGCGCACGTTTGCGGGGAGCATAGAGCTGTTCCCCTATGGAAAAGATCGTTCTAATGGAGTTGACTGACGCCTTTCGGGGCGCCTAACACATGAACCCCAGTGTGTACGTTAATTCATAAAGTATATATATAAAACAATAAATTTCACGTGGATATGTGTATACTGCGTAAATTTGCTGGTTTTTTAAAAATGTGTTTAATGAAGGTATTTGCAAAGACAAATAATAAAACAACCAGCACCATGGGCCAGCCTGAGACATGGAGTACAGTGCAGGGCCATCTGTTGAAGGGTTGCGATCAAAGGCTGCATTTTATCACAGATGATTTTAATAATTTGTGGAGGGGAAAATACTTGTGGCTACCTCTGTATTGATTAAAATTCTACTCCACGCCCCAGGGGCAGCACTTGCCAAAGTAAGCCAAACTTGTGAGTGTATGTTTTATTTATACAAAATCCAGGAAAAATACTCCAGCATACATTACTTAATGACGATAAGTTAAATTAATATCAAGGATACACACATTAATACCTAAACACATTTATGTTTATGAAGGTAATACATTTCCGTGCCCTACTCTGGCTTTTCTTTAAAGATAGAACTTGTTTTTTGTCTATCAAGTCATTTTAAAAGATAAATATTTAATACTTATTGAACAATAACCGTGTAAGAGGTGAAATACCAAATGTTTTTGCTTGAAAAATCATTTTCTCCGTTGTCTTCACCGTTCTAATGAACATGGCGTTTGGGATGTGCTCCCAAGTTTCGGATTCATCTGAAACTTTAGCACGGTTGGCTATGTACAGTGCGAAAGAAGTTAAACATATTTAGAATGAACCAAAAAATATAGTTTTGGGTTATTCCGAAAATGTAAGTGATGTTACTAATGACATCACTTCCAGTGGGGACTTCAGGTTTGGTTCAGATGTCACTCACCATTGATGCTAGCTACGGCTGTTAATATCACAATATAAGTTAATATCGCAATATGTTAACCACTGCACCACCACTCTTTATTAAGATAACACCAATTAGATACCACCAGTGACAATTATAAATGCAACACTAAGTGGCCACAACATATCGTTTCGTAATAAAAAAATATATATATGGACACAGTCCTTAAACAGAATAACACTGATGAATTAATCAATACAAATCTATTGTAACCTCAAATGACAGCTGTAAGACAAGTGCTAAATTTTGTTAACACATAATCTGACGTGAATTCCTACCCATACGGCAACTCTAAGCCAAAATGTATACTCTTATATAAGCGGACAACTTTATCTATCTGTGATGAACACTGCACTTTCCGTCGTTTTCATGCAGGGGACGCTGCAAACCTACGCACCCCCTGCATGAACGACGTTAGGCGCAGGGACAGACGTTCGATTACGATGGAATCGATCTGCAGACGGCGGTCTTCTCGCACGGCCAGCAGCTCTATGCCGCCTTATCTCGATCCCGCAATCCCAAACAGGTGAAAGTCCGCATCGAACCGAACCCCCTTAGCAAGGCCATCTTACTTAACGGCGAGAGACAATTCACACGAAATGTCGTTTTCAATGAAGTCTTCCAGATGTAAAATGATATAAGCTTTTAATGAAGTAATACAACGATCTAATTCAAAACATGATACAATTCAAAGACGTTTCATTTTAAAACTTCAAAACGGAGCATCGGGTGCTTGCGTGAATGCGTCGTTCGTGTGCCATTTCTTTCGTGACTTTCCTGGCCGAAGGCCGTGAATGGTTGCGAGGGGTGCCACAGGCACCCCCGAACAACCGCTAGTACGATTATACATAAAGACTGCACTTTTAGTTTGAATAAACGTGCAGCTACAATACCGTTTTCTGTATTAACAAGCGTAATGACCAGTGAGAGTCAGGATGTTGTCTTTCAATGGCTATCTCGGTGATTGTTGATGGGTACAATCATTTGTTATTTGGTTTGGTGCGGAGTCGTGGTGCAGTGATTTGGTTAGTACACTGTGTTTTGAACCCAGTGGAGTTTGATGTGGGCCACGGTTACTATACGTGGTAAGTGATATATGAACATGGCATGATCCCCTCCTTCAACCAGTACTGACCAACATGGGGAAGTAGGGTTGACTAAATCGACAGTTGTATGGGGGGGCCCTTCATCAGGCAGATAATTAATAAAGGGTTTTGAGTTTAGTTGGAGTATATATTTTTTTATGTCGACATTGGGCTATTACATTAGTAATGGCCTACTCTTGAGAATTATGTCATAGGGTTTCTTAAGTGTAATACACAGTGCGGTATATAGCTTACCATTGTTCTTTGGAAATGCACTTCAAACATTGGCGGCCATATTTTAAAGCACGTGACTATCCAGCCACCAAAGTTGGAAGTTAATATTTTACATAATCTGGAGCCTATTCTCTATTTTTTTTAAACGTAAAATTAAATATTGCGTTTAAGTCATGGGACCTCCTTTGCCAGTACCAAAATATAAGAATAGATTTAAAAGAAAGCTTTCTCTGGTGTGGACCAATCAGTTTCAAGGACAATGCATATATTATCAAAGGATGTTTTTTGTTTGCATTCTGACCACAAGTATTGTGGTTCATGCAGGCATGATTCCTCGTAAAAAGGTTTCAGTTTTGTTGCCAGAATAAAGGGGGAAAACCTATTCTTATATTGCTTTTAAGGTTAAGTGGACGGAGCAGTATTTTAACTTGAGAATACAGTTGAGCTTTCCTATGCCATGTGTGTCGCAGGCGCTGGGCAAGCCAAAGGAAGTGCCAAAGGAAGCTTGCACGTGGCAGGCATCGTCCACTGTGCTCATCAAAGACCGGATGTGGGCGGCACGAAAGCCAAGCCAAACGCAGCTTTTAAAGCATTTGCCAGAATGGTTGCAGGCTGCCCAGGTCTGTGAACAATATGCCACTGCAGTATCAGGCTCCACCAACTCTATAATTTTGCAATTTCATCTTTCTAAACTACTTGATCGTGATAGTCTACTGTTTACGGTAGATAGTGAAAGATAAATGATCAAATGTACGCAATCGTATGGGTGGTGGTTGGGTAGCACAAACTAATTGAAATCAATGTAAAATTGATGCGCCAGTATTTAGGTTTCAGGGTTGAGGCCCAATGGCAATTGAAACATATTTTACTTCCTCATTATTTATTGCTATCAACAATTATTTTAATAATTGCACTGAAATGTAGTTTATGGCATTTGTAAAAGCTAAGGGTCACTACCTGGACAGCCTGTAAGAGTAAAGTGGTAATCAACCAGAATCGGAAACTTTATTAATTCTGGAGCAATCCGATGAGCTATGAAGCTCTTTTTTTTCAAAGATGTCCAGTAAGGGTGAGTCAGAAAGTTACAGTAGCATGGCATCACATTTCTGCACTTACCCAGAAAGAACTTTACTTGGTACTTTAAATTATAGTTTAAAGCAATTACTACGAATAATACATTGATAAAACAAAACACACATTTTGAAAATGTAATCACATGACAAATATTTTTTCTGAAATATCCACAATAGATTTATTTTGACACATACATTACAATATATAGACTATTTTTGAAAGGCAGGGACATGATATCAGTACCTGGCCACATTAAAAGCATGACTCATTGCTATCAATGCAGATAATGAAAGCCCACTAAAACAAAGGGGGTCTGTGTTCATTATCTGGATTTGATTTACTCTGCATTGTATTTCAAAAAAAATAAAAATTAAGAAATTGTTCTCGTGTTTTAAAAGTTCATTAGCTCGCACAACATTTATGGTAACAATATTTTTTTCATTTTTAACATAATCAGACTTATTTCACCTGCACCAACTAACCGTTCTTTCCAATATTCAGTGGGATGGTAAAATTAAGTAAAAACACCTGTACAAAGGTGCAGTGTGAAGCTGTTACACAGCAAACACAGAGGGGTAAGAGGCAAATAAACATCAGCACTCAAATCTTACTATAGCACGTAAACAAATGACCATATGTTAAAGTGTGAACCACCACTATGCCATATACCATATTGAACATTAATACAACTTGATATATGCTGACATACAAATTTAAAGTGAGCATTTTCCACTATCATGTAAATCACAAGGATTACTTTATATCTGCAACACACAGAAACTCATTAGAAGCTGATATAACGCTTAACAAAACCATCTTAACACTGAAGTTAAACAGACAACAAATTGATGTAGAAATGCCCACACAATGACTATTTAATACACACCTCTTAACACATTGTATAATGTTAAACTAAGTACTAAGTATGATAGGATTGACATAAAACACAATAGCTTTGCTGTGGATCAGTATTCCATTGGGGATCTATACATTTGGCTTCCTTCAGGAAGTCTACTGGGACAGGATGTGCTAGCACAACGGTGTTAATTAAGATATATAAAGTGTCATCCTTAGAGCTGAGGGTCAATTTCCATGACAGATGCTTTCCATTGTTTTACGATCTTCATCGTCTCGAATGAAGAGTCCCGTCCAACTGCTCATATCCTCCCAGCAAATTTTCTAATTTCTTTATCTTCTGAGATTTGTATGCTTCATATTGCCAGCTCACCTTTATAGATTGTTCCACATATTCCATCTTCCTTCTCAACATACTTCTTAGTAATTCAGCACATCTTCTTATCGTGCCAACTGTAATATTTCAATTCTAACTGTGCCAGGTTTGATTTCAAACTGCAATGTTGCTCACCCATCCTCGTGTGTATTTTGTAGGCTAAAGTAGACACCTCTAACAGAGAAGAAAATGTAAGCTCTTCATGAAGACCTTCCAGTGCACCCTTGACGACACACAAACCGGATTTTTTTAAAAAGCTATGCTGATAAATATTCTATGGGTCTTTCGGTAAAGCCACGTAGATAGAAAATAATAAAAACATCACGACGTTTCGATCGTGGTGAGAGACGATTGCTCTCACCTGAAGACGATTGCTTGTGTTGCGATTGAAACGTGATATTTAAAAAAAAGTTATATCTACGTGGCTTTACCGAAAGACCCATAGAATATGTATTCCTGCGGTCACGAACGCTTTAAGTCAAGACTATGCTGATAAACACGGTTGAATATTTGCATGGAATGTGTTTTTTTCCCGTAATTCCTCAGTGACCAGTCACATGAATAATAACTGTGTTGTCGTTTTTAGATACAAACTCATTGGCAATTATAAACAAAGAGGCCATAGACACTTGGCCACATGAGGTCGAAGAGAATCTGCACAAAAAGTAAAAATGCTTTGTAACATAAGTACTCTAACAGAACACGTTTTGGAGACTCTCGAGATAGTGTGATACTTGAATGAATAATACACAGTGTCTCTTTATGTCCAGACGAAAGGTTTTTTGAAATGCCTGGATGTTTCTCTCAACAAATATTGACTTAAATTTTGATTTAAAGCTTTCGTGACTGCAGTAATTCATATTCTTGGTTTATTCGGTAAAGTCACGTTGAAGGGAAACAATAAAAAATAAAATATATATTAAACAATTGTTTTATATATTGTTTTATAGATTTTATTATTTTATTGTTTCCCTTCAAAGTGACTTTACCGAAAGAACCAAGAATATAAATATTGACTTGTTACATTGTATTAAACTAATTCGTCTGTTTCTCAGTTTTCAGTTTCATTTATTAGGTATAGCCCTGTGAGCCATGCGGCTCTTAACTCGGGTGTAACCGCAACAAACAAAAACATGAACAAAAACATGAACAAATCAACTCTCAACCTTACAAATATTAAGCCCACGTAGATGGCTGGGCGTTTTCACACGCCCTTTTCTTCAAGCAGAAAGTGACAACACGTTTAAGAGTTAGTATGCATTGCATTTTCAAACCTGGCACGCTGGCCCATTTCCCAAAGTCGATTCCATTGAAGGCTGTTGAACTTCACACTTCCCTGTCAATCCGCAAGTCAATTATCTCAATTGTTGATTTATTATTACTTTCGAAGACTGGCCTCCAGCCACCTGAGCACTTTCATACTCAAAATAACGAACAGACCACTTTTAGCCTCGACATTTAAGTGCACACTTAACAATCCACCAAGCAAAGTGCTACCATTGATCAGATTAACTTTTCTCACTGAACCTACCATGACCAAAACCTTACATTCTCTGTGGATTCCCTGACCTTCTTTGATCATCTTCCACCTGTTTTGCCCAAGTTTCCCCATGCGAGTGCTCCAGGCTCGCCATCCAGTGCCATCCTCTTCCCTGAGGGTTGGTGGCGTCCAGCGCCTCCCTCCACTTATCTCTGTCCTCCGCCAGTCTCGCGCTGTGAATCTGCGTCTTCCGTCATCTGTCCAATTGCCTTCTTGGTCCATCTCAGAATTTCTGAACAGATGTTCAACCTCGGATGAGATATCCATAAAATTATAGTTTGTGTCTTCGTACACAACCAAAGTATATGCTGGTATACTGACTATAATATGTCAGGATTACATCTGGCTTTAATTTGGCCCTTAGGGTTAGAAATTATCAAGTGCTAAACTCATCCTTTGGGGTAAACCTTTTGGGGTTGATTTTAAGGTGAGATATCAGCAATATTAATGGGCAAGGGTACTTTACAGATTTTGTTGTACATCACTAAACTTACATGAGCAATGACTTTATACATTTAAAATGCAATGAGGAGCTGTACATTTTCAGGAAAGATGGAATTAGTGCAAAGTGTGATGATTTTTTTTATTTCAGGGCAGAAGTCATGCACGTAGCAATTCTAGTGTGACTGTAACCAGGACAACTTTGTGTGACTGAGCTCATGTGGCCAAAGACTGAAGGAATAACCCGAACTGCTGAGAAGGGCAGGTGAACATTTCCTGTGGTTACTTTTGTCATTCATCCCTAGAGAGAGAAAAGATTACAGAAATCGGTCAATGAACACTTGCGTATCATTTTGTAACTTCTTATCTATGCATTGTTGTTGTTGTGAAAGCTTGATGTATGGCTTATCAACATACCCAGTGATGTCTCAGAAGGGTGAGGCATTGGGAATCCATGCTCATCCACTTTGATCCTGTTCACCACACAGACCAGTTCCAATTACAGTCGTAGAACTTGGAACCTTATGCAATGAGTTGTACAATAAGGACATAGGATTATAAACCTCCAAATCTCCATTCACGAACATCACGGAAGCTCAGCACTAATATCATATACTTTCAAATGAGGCTGCCTTAGTACATTGTTTGCGTGTTATCATTTATAATGCATCGTGTGATCTCGAAAACTACGTATATTCTACACAGTTGAAAGATGTATTTAAAAAAAAAGCTAAGAATGAAAATACTTGTATTTCCAAAGCTTATAAATTACTTTCTTTGGCACGATTGCAATCAATGCAAGGAGCATTGTGATGGTAACAACTGAAGCAAGTTTATTATTGTAACAAGTCAACTTTCTTTCAGTCGCCACATGAATAAAGCACTTTCAAGAACTCTCTCAACAGCCTCTGTGTGAGCAATCATTTTACTCTCCAGTAATGATTCATGAATTAAAGCATTCCTTTCCTGTAAAGCTCACCAGGGTGAAAATTATTGCGATTTTGTTCAGCTGGAAGGCTACAAAAATTGGCCAATTTGGTCCAAGGATATAATGAGCAAATGTATATTGAGATTTTGACAGACACTTAACATTATAATAGAGACCTGAGGGTTATTTTTTTGAATTCCTAAGTACCGTACCATGTTCCACAAGGAATCACAGAAAGGGGCATCCCATCAGGGTTTAACATATGTTAATGCAGCTGAAGATACATTTATAGACAACAAAAAACAACGTTTGAATGACAACCGTAAAACAGCAGAATATGTACTAGACAAGTTGTTGAACGTGGATTGGGGTAAAAATGATTAAATTAAATTAAACCTCTTGAAGTCAGACAGAGCGGGGAGAACACCCTTTGTGGGTTATGGGGGATGTCTGGAATGCTGAAACTAGTTAAATAATTGCATAATTACTACCTTTAAATAACATTTGCACGTAATTAACACCTACTTAATGTAAATGACAACAGCTTAACATTCAATTTATGAATTACTAAACATGTGTAGTGAGTCCAACTGAGTCGCAGACGTTCTGTTGGGAGCAACACTATTTATTTCACCAACTCAACACACAACATAACGTAACCTAAACTTGGGTGTTGAACTCCCATCAACCACGCTGCGGCAGAACTAGACACGGCTTCCAGTCGTCCCGGCTGCCAACTCCCCCGCAAGTAAGCAACCGACGTACAAATATACAGAACAACAAACAAGTGTGCTCCAACAATAACAGAACAGTGCAATAAATTACCCAAACCCAACTTTACAATATACAGTATACACCGATAGAAAAAAAAATCACAACAGCGAGAGAAAAAAAGAAACAACCCAACAATCGCGTCGTACAAGATCCCCACAATCAACATCTCCCACCCACAACGTGTAACAACGCCCGTGAGCTCGATGGCGAGCAGGATCAGCCAAATACTCGCCACGACTCATGCGAGCGCGACAACCTATGACGGTGTGGGAGTGTGCAATGCGCGGGGATCACGCGAATCGAGTCTTTGAGCGAGTCCGCCAGGCGGATTGGGCTTGTCCTCGCTGGAAGGCCCAGGGCGAACAAGAAATCGACCCAACGAAGCCGGCTCCTCACGAAGAGCAGTAGGCTGGACCGTCGGGTCCTTCACATCCGGAGCACGCGAGGCCGACACGAGTAGCCGCGTGCGAGGCATCAGTCGCGCGGCGCCTGGGGGGCGGAACAGAAACACTCTCCTGAGGGCCCTCGTCAGCAGATGCACGCCCCAGCTCGTCGGACACACCCGACACTCGGCCCCTGCGATATGGAGATGAAACAAACTCACATGGCGCGATAAACGGCTTAAGACGAGAGGGGTGTACAAACCAGCTCCGCTTACCAAACCGAATCTGGACACATTGCGGCCGCACGACCCAAACCACATCAACCGGCCCTTTCCATGGTTGCAGCAATTTGGGAGATGTGCCCACCGGCACCTGCGGACAATGCAACCAGGCCCTGTCCCCTGGCGACCAATCGCACAAGGAAACACGGGCACCTTTGAGCCGCTCGCTGGCCAGCTGTCTGGCCCGGGAGTTAACAATGGAAGCTTTCCGCGCCTCGGAAAGTTTGGCAAGCGTGAACCGAACCGAATCAAAAATTTTGGACACCTTCGGGGCAGGTTCGGCTTGTAACTGCACATCGATGGGAGGATCATACTCCCTCCCATACATCAAAAAGAAGGGAGAGTAGCCGGTGGACGCGTGAGGGGTCATCCTATAAGCGTCGAGAACCGCAGGAATATGCAAATCCCAATCGACCTGTGACGCGCTGACCAAGTGACTCAACATGGAGGTCAGAGTCCGGTGTAGGTGCTCGACCATGCCATCCGTTTGTGGGTGCTACGGCGACGTGCGTACCTTTTTCGTCCCCAGCAAATCGCAAACCTGACGCAGCAGCTTGGACGAATTTGTTTTACCTTGATCCGTCAAGAGGCACTCGGGGGCACCCTTATCCAGAACATAGTAATTGAGGAACGCCTCAGTAATAGTCACAGCCAATTGATTCGGGAGCGGCCAGGCCATAGGCCAGCGTGATAAATATTCAACACCCAAGAGCAAGTACCTATTTCCATGCGCGGAAGCAGGAAACGGCCTGAGAATATCGAGGGCAACAATTTCATTTACACGCAACACCTGGATGAATTGTAGCGGAGGGCAACAGGATCTCGCTGGCGGCTTCCCCCGGGCACATTGCACGCAGCCCTTAAGCAGATCCTCGACGTCGGAGGCCATGGCCGGCCAATAAAAATCTAATTTAAGAGCTGCCAGTGTCTTCTGCACTCTGAGATGCAACAACAGTTTATGCACAGCCCAAACAACCTCACCACGCAGGGCGGTAGGGACAACAATAGCATAACAGCGCAATCCTCCATCCAATACATGACTAGCCCGCCCCGCAGGACAAACGAGGCAACACCTTAAGGAGCCATGCCATCGGCGTCTCCCTGAAACGCCATGGCAACTTAAGGAGGGACGCATCCTCCGCCTGCCGGAGTCCCCACACCTCGTAGTCCAACACCAAAATCGCATCCCGTGCGGCAGGGACATCGCCCGTCCCTCCCATCGTGTCCGCGGCGGATGCAACGAGAGGGGAGGGGGAGGTCGAGCCGGCCGGTAGACAACGACCAGAACCCGAAAAACATGCACACTACCCGCCCGCTGGCAATCGCGATAGGGCATCGGCGTTTGTATGGCAAGAACCCTTACATAACGTAACGTTGAATAAAAAATCCCTCAGGATTTCGAGCCAGTGTGACAATTGACCAGCGGGCTGATCCACACGCAGCGCGTACTGGAGCGCACCTCGAAATGTCTCCCGTACAAGTACGGCCGATATTGTTGCACAAAAACCACAACGGCCAATAGTTCCTTGCGCGTTAAGCAGTACCGCTGCTCGGCCGGAGACAGCACCCTGCTGCCATAGACGACCACGTGCTCCACGCCATTTACAACTTGGGATAACACCGCACCAATGCCGGTATTACTGGCGTCCGTGTTCAACACGAATGGCAACGAAAAGTCGGGATAACGCAGGGGAGGGGCGTTAACCAGCCCATCACGAATAGAGCGGAACGCAGCTTCCTCCTCCCCCCAATGAAGTTTTTGGCCCTTAGCTGTCAATGCGTGGAGAGGTTTTGCAATAGATGCGAACTCCGTGACAAATCGGCAATAGTAAGAGGCAAAGCCGATAAAACTGCACACCTCGCTGGCCGAGGTGGGGGTCGGCCATATCCGAATGCAAGCAGTTTTCTCCAGGTTTGTCGCGATTCCCGATTTGCTGACTATATGGCCCAAGTATCGAACCGATTTTTGGAGTAGGTGGCATTTTTGGTGCTTGAACTTCAGGTCGGCCGCACGCATCTTAACGAAAACAGCCCGCAGGCAATCCAAATGCTCATCGAACGTGCGACTGAAAACAATGACGTCATATAAATATATTAGGCACGAATCCCACTGGAGGCCCGCTAAATCCAACTCCATCAAATGCTGGAAGGTGGCCGGCGTGGAGTGGAGTCCCATCGGAAGCTGGTTAAACTCGAACAACCCTTGTGGTGTTCGATAAGCCGTCTTGGGCCTTGAAACCTTGTCAAGCGGCAGCTGTCAAAAGCCTGACAGAAGGTCAAGGGTGGAAAAAAACCGCGCGCTCACCAAAGCGTCCAACGAATCGTCCATACGTGGCAAGGGGTATGCATCCGCAACAGAAACCTTGTTACACTTGCAGAAATCAACACAAAACCGCAAACTGACATCGTGCTTCTTAACAAGTACGATAGGAGCACCTCATGGACTGGTGGATGGCGAGATGATATCTGCGGCCAACATCTCATCAACTGCCGCCCAAACGTGTTCCTTTTTGGCCGGGCTCAGGCGGTAAGGATTCTTTCTAGATTCGAAGCTTTCGTGACTGCAAGGATTCATACTATTTGGTTTTTTCGGTAAAGTCACGTAGGTTAAAAAAAATGAAAACAACTAAATTAAATCACAACGTTTCGGGCGCAATAAAAGCGTCCGTCATCAGGTGGGGACAAACACAGCGAAGACCGTTGCTGAGATATGTCAAAGAGATTGCTCTGACACGGGTTTATATAGCTGAGGAGGTTGGGGGGGGGGGAAACGAGGGCAGGGTGGGTATGGGGGGAAGCGGGGGAGAGTGGAATCGGACACTACTACACGATTGGAAAGCTGCACCTCAAATTTACTAGTGATGTGCAAGGCTGGGAGTAAAATACTGGTGATGTGGATATGAATATAAACTGTAAGGCAGCTTATGGTTCAACTTGGTAAATAACATCCTTCCAATGAGTGCTCAATTTGAATCCATCTTCTCGGTTGAAGTTATGTCTATGTTTGTAAATCTGGATGGCCTTATGGAGAAACCTTTGGTGGTATCCAGACGGCTTGCAGAGCACCTTGGTCTCGGAAAAGATAATAATATCATGAGAACCCGCCTTAGCTGATCATTGCTTCAACACAGCGTGTCCGACCCAGCATTGAGGACTTGTATTAATGGTGCCTGGTCTCGGGACACCAGCGTCTGAGCCGCTACAAGTGACATCCCCCGACTAAGCTTATTTGAGGGACCCAACACAATACCATTCCCCACAGCGCGCGCATCAAGCGGTTTACGCAATCAAAGGTGCACCAATATTTGTGCACCGGGCGGAATCCGCACCGTTCAGTATGCAATCACTTGCACCGTGGCGTTAGCAGAACACATACGGATCGGAGATGGGAGAAATGACATACGCCGTCCAAACGGCAATTCCAAACAGCCCTTGTCAATACAAATCTTGAAAGCCATTTTGCCGAGTAAATCAGTCCCCAGTAAGCACGGAACAGCCAGGGCCATAGAAACCAAAACATGGCCCGACAATGTGACATTGGCAATGCGCAACTCAACAGTTATCCGACCGATTATCCCCAACGATCCACCGTTGGCGGTCAAACACGGAGCATCCACCGGCTGCAAAACCCAACACCGGGGGAGCAAAATATTGTGAATGAGGTCGGAAATAATGGTTGAAGATGCACCGGTGTCAGCTAGCATGTGAAATGCAACCCCCTCAATGAACTCAAGCACAGCCGATGACCCAACGGCCACCGCAACCACTCGATGTGCCAGCTCTGACCACCGATCCGGTCGGAGCGGCCGCTCGTCGCGAACACGCACTGACTCCCCCCAAAACCGCACACGACCCCGACACAAATCAGACCCCCCTGATGGGTGATGTGAACCCCAGGGCCAAGTGTGGGGTGCGCCGCAACTCGCCTTCGGGAACAGAGAGTCGTAGGAAGGCGGACATCCTGGGGGCCGCCGTCGAGGAACCCGGCAGCCTGATTGGACATGCCCCGGTAGGCCACAGTTGTAGCAGGTGACCCGTCCACTGCTGGACTGGGATGATGCAGACCTCGCCCACTGCCGGTCGTCCCGCCGCCGATCGCCGTCACCCCGAAGATTGCCGCTCCGCTGGTGCAGCGAGCACGCAGGAGCAGGCTCCTCGTTCACGTGGGCCCCGGGCTCCACCCATGACACAGAGTACACCACCAATACCCTGTCACATTGCAGGGTCTGCTGCGCTTGTATGCACCTGGCGATCTTGAGTGAAGACACCTCACCGTCCTTGGCGGGGAGCACGGTATGGAGGTCTTTGGCGAGTCCCAACATCTTCTCGAGGACCAAGACATCAAAGCCGTCGTCCAATTTTGGGAACGCGGCCTTCGCCAGCGCCAAGAGCGCACTTCGGTAGGCGAGAGCCGACTTACCATCCCCTTTTCGTCTTATGGCGAACTTCTGGTGGGTGTTCAGCGGAGGCTCGAAAACAGATGGCCATCTGGTCAAACGCCTGCATAAGGGTGGACCTCTCAGACGGCAGAATGGTGAGGAACGCCGCCAAGGCGTTATCGTCGAGGGTAGCGGGCAGCGCTTCCAGCGCGTCTGCCTCCGACCATCCCGCCAAGTCGGCATTTGTTAGAAATTGCCGCTTAAACGCCACCCAGTCGTCGCTGGCGGCAACAAATTCTTTAATGAAGGGCAGTCAACGGCGGAGCGACTGGACGTCAGTCGATGGTGGCAAAATGGCGCCCGCGAGTGTCGGCAGCGGCGATGGCGTTCCCGCCTTTTGTGAAATGACGGCCGAGTTGCCCCATCCGGACAAATCCGCCGCTCCCTCCTTCACCGTCGAGGGCAGGGACCACATCTCGACGAGGATCGAGGACGCCACTTGGAGGAGGTCAGCGAGACGGACGTGCGCGTCCCTGCCGAGCGCCTCCAACGAAGGCACGGCGCCGTGCACCCTGACTGCGCTCTGCTCTGCTGGCAGTGCCTCTGCTCCTTCCTCAGCGGAATCAGCTCCTCATCGTCTTCGTCATCCGACGCCCGTACACGAACTATGCGACGTGTAGACATGACTTGTCTACCGCTAGCTACAGCTTAGCAAGTTGGCCACTTCCAACACCAGTTGTAGTGAAGCCAACTGAGTCGCAGACATTGTCTTGGGAGCAACACTATTTATTACACGAACTCAACACACAACATAACGTAACCTACACTTGGGTGTTGAACGCCCATCTAGCCACGCTACGGCAGAACTAGACACGGTTTGCTATCCCGATCCGGACCACGATCTGGGTCCCGGACCACGTGGCTAGAGTCTTCTTCAACCTGACGTGGATCTTCTTCACCAAAAACCTGAAGAACACCGAGCCCCTCATGGGGCCCCCATTATATCGGCCTGGGCTGGGGCTGGCTCCGCCGCTCCCCCCGCCCACCTTCTAAATCTTTCGAGCTCTTTCCCGAAGGCTCCCGAGAGCTTCTTTATACCACGTGACCGCCCAGCGGCCCCCGTCCACCGGTGGCCCCTCTCAAATATCATCCGGTCACGTGTCGTCAGGTCAACCAGCGTATCATGCACCAACGTAACTCTGGCTGGCTGACACTCCCTCTGGCTCCCTCACCGGGAGCCCGCACCGCACACTGTACATGGTGCCTCCGTGCTCACCAGCGCTCACCCAATCCCCGCTAGGGCTGGTACTGCGCCCAGTAACCAGGTTGCACATAATGACAACATATTATCCGCCGTGGCTTCATAAGCCCGTCACACACAGTGACATTTACAGTCACTACAGATGTAACAGACACATTGCTCGAAGGGATGATGGGTGACGCATCAGACTGGTGATGGAGCGGTAGCCAATAAATGTGAATGGGCCCACAAGGAGGACCGCTGCAGAGGTGGAGCAATGAGGCAGATTCAGAAGTGTGATGGATTGCGGTGAAGCAGACGAATGAGGGTTGGTGATGGTGTCCCACAGGCTTTCATACAGCAGTGGCTAAACAATTCCCGAAGAAGAGGCTCAGATCATTGTACGGCTCTTCACTGCGACAATTGATGTACATTGAACTTCTTTCGCACTGTACGTAGCCAACCGTGCTGATCGGAGGTGAGCGGGGATGAGTTCTCCTTTGGCCACAGACGTTCTCAAAAATGTTAAGAGCATCCTTGCACGGACCCTTCATTAAAATTTCCCAATTTTTTTATATTAATTTCGTTAAATGTAAGCGTGTAATGTAAAAGTAACTCTGAGGAATCTAAGCAAGATTTAGAGGTAATGCTTGAATCTGTGACGACACGCACAGACACATTATTTGGTGGCTGTGGGGCTGTGCAATGCGGTGCGCAGCAGAGAACAATGCAGAAAAATGAATTGCATTACTGTGCTTCTATGATCCCACGTCTATGCTCTCTACGCTTTACCAACTTGCATTGTCAAGCGTGGTGAAGTATGATCACATAACCCCCCTAGATCCCCCACCTATTAGTGGGTTATGGGAAAGGCTTTACATGTAAAAGTGATGTGTTCATGCTAGGGTCAAGACCATGGAATCAATCAGTCACCTTTATTTATAACAAAATGAGAACCCAATGAGATCAATGTTTATTTTACAAGTGATACGTGGGGTAAAACACAAGGTAGGGAAAATCACAGTAGAAAATGCAGGTCAAGAAACAAAAACAAACGGCAACTAAAATGAACTGAGTGTACAGGCACACGATAATAATAATTACGTGCACTTAATTTAAATAAAGCAACACTATAAAAAATAATGGGCTTGAAAACAAAACTGAGTGCGAAAGTATCCATTAGACAATTCTAATTAATATTACTATCACACCCGAAATAATAAGTTGTAAATATATTTAAATAATTGGTATGACCTTTTTAATGGGGAGGGGGTGGAGGGACGGTACAGTAAATATGAAACAAATTTCAAACAAATGTCAATGTTGACTTAAAGCTTTCGTGACATGCTGGAATTCATATTCTTTGGGTCTTTCGGTAAAGTTACATAGAACAACATTTTTTTTGTTCAACGTGACTTTACAAATATCAATGTTGAGAATTTGAAAGGAGGGGATAGGGTTGATATTTTGTCAACATTTCTATACCATTTTCATCCGTGATGGTTAACTAAAGGCACGAACTCTGAGATGAGTGTGAAATCTCATGTGCAGTACCTGTGTGAAGGTTGGAGAACTGGAACCCACGATCTGGCAAACAGAATTGAGATATAAACACTGGGCCGTTGGCTGTCTCTGAAAGGCTGCCTGTGTTGTCATCGGGGGCTGTAGAGGTTGTACTGACTGGAGAGTCGTGCTCTGCTTTCACCGAACGAGGGCTTAGGCTTTCGGCCTCTGATTCGTCACTTTCGGGCTGTAAGTCTGTTGCACCGAAGAGAGGTGAAAAGGGCTCCATATCAAAGATGTCCGTTACTCCAGAGTCTGGAGATTTACTGCCAGTCTGAATAAAGAAACAGAGACACAGAAAGTAAGTGCACGACTTAGCTTGACTGCAATGCACCCGTTGACCGTCAGTATACATATAACGTTCAAATTGAACCACGTATGTGTGTGTTAAAATTATTTCGCACCGTACAGAGCCAACCACACTAATTGGAGGTGCAGGGTAAGAACAACGAACTAAACACAAAACGCGGTTTGCACAAAGCTATTTATATTTGACACATTTTCAAAAACATACAAATTCATATTTAATCATTAATATTATCGAAGCCAAAACAAAACAAATGGCACACAATTCAATGACTGGTAAATGTCAAACTGGCATGCTATTGATCAAATACTGTTATAAAGCAAAATACAAATGTCTTGTTTTTGAATATCCTTGTAAAATGAGCAATCGTCAGCACTATGGTGGCCACTACCTTTTGAGGGTGCCAGGGTGGCGAGATGTTCACTACCTCGCCTGGTATACAGTAGGTCATGGGTTTGATCTCGACCGCGACGCCTGCATATTTGGAGTTTGCATGTTCTCCCCATGCTCGTGTGTATTTTTCTCCGTGTCCTCCGGTTTTTCCTCTCCACATTTAGAAACATGCGTTTACATTATTTTTCTTCTATACATTTCCACGTGAAAAAAATAGTTTTGTTATCATTTGTGGCCAAGTCGCTTTTGAAAAAGAGCTATATAGCTCAGTGGGCTTTATCTAGTAAAATAAAAATAGTAAATAGCAAACAGTTCTATAACGTTTGTTGATTGATGGTCACGATGTCAGTCCCAAACGGGAGGTCATAAACCATGGTGTTCAGTTTGACTAGTAATTATACTTTGAGGCACATATATCTGAGGTGGTTAAAATGTCATTTTTTCACCTTAGAAATATTACCAGAATGCATCGCTTCCTGTCACCTGCTGACTTGGAGAGACCGGTCCATGCTTTTGTGTTATCCCGACTCGACCACTGCAACGCCTTACTGGTTGGGATACCGAACAAAGTACTGGACAGACACCAGCTTTTTCAAAATGCATTGCACAATGGAATCCTAGGACGGAATGTGCATCATACATTTGAGTTATTATTATTATAATGTCGCTCTATTCAAGCTCACATGAAGGCTACATTAGGCCTGGGATGCAATGTCAAAGCTGTAGCTCTAGGTTTCTTAAATCACTGTGTCCTAGAGCATAGTCATGGTTGTTCTTGACTCCACCTCTACAAGCTCCCATCACTGCCTTGTATAGTTCACGAGGTGCATTCTCTCTGTGTGTTCCACCCGTTGAGTGCTGTCTAGGGCGCCTACAGGGGGAACGAAGAGGGTCGAGAGCTCCGTGTTTGGCAGGGTGAGGCAAGGCTGCAGCAGCAGGGAGTTTGGTCGTTTTGTTTCCACACTTCTCTCGAGCCCGCTCTGCAGGTGACACACCTCTTCTTGGCTCTTAGTGTCCTACACACACACACCATCATTGCAGTAAATAAACAAATACTGCATTCGTCAGCATTATAAATTGCCGTTCATGTCAAAGAACCACTGAATTATATCGATGCAGTAATCTTGCTGGTTTCATAGCTTACGAAAGCCTGCAATAACATTAATTCAAGGAAATAATGGAGCCATTTATACGTGTTAAATATATATTTTTTTTATTTTGGTACGTCTCATTAAGGTTACTGGTTTGTAATAAAACACAAAAAAAACACGTTTTAAACGAGATGCTAAAATTATTGTTATAATGAAACTGCATACCTGTGTACTCTTAAACATGTCTTTCAATTCCTGAACCTGCTTCTTCAGCTGCCCATTCTCAGTCTCCAGGTTGACCACCTGCAATAAAAAAAACACTGAAGATAATTAAGAATCATGCAGAATCACCAGGAATCACTCGCTCTTTTTAGAGGCCCAGTCAACAATTACAAGTGTCTCCCTGTCGTCCAAATTAGCACGACGATAGCACTAATTTCCACTGGCAGTCCTGAACCAGTGGTGGAAATTCCACATTACCCATGGAGGGGTGATAGTCTATCGACAGGACAATGACCGTTGACTTCCAATGGTGGTACTCGTTTCATGGACACTGGAGGGATGATGGGCTGAACTTACCCCTGACCAGAATATAAACTGAAGTTTTCGTTTTGAGATCAGCACTGTAACCACAATAAAACGCTTCTGGGTTATGTTGGCAGCACTTCGTTTAAATGAACTATTGCTTAATCTATGCTGCTATGAACATATCTGTCATTAAAGCGACTAATGATTGGTTGAGGGACTGATATTCTGCAACAACAACAATGAAAGAGAAACTAAATAAGCATTATTTTAGCATTTTAATGGAACGTTATCTATTTTGGCCCTTTAATCTATATATATATTTTTTAAAATAGGTCAATTTAGTCCAATGTCAAGATAAATTTAATGAAACATTTTTTTATCCCCTTCTCTGGCTTATGAAAATATATACAAACCAGATAATTAAATAAGCTGTTTAGTAATTAAGCTTCCTTTGATTCCGTACAAATCCAATTCCCAAGTATATCGTTCGTCATTCATAAGTAATACACATGTCAATCATTGCATGTCTATGGCAGCAGGTAAAAAAATGGGTGAGAAATGGGTTTCATTATTTTTATGAAGCAGTCGTGACATTAATTATTTGATCAACATATATGGATGGCAATTGAGTAATATCAACCACTAACGTTGAATAACTGTCCTACGTTTACATGCTTTGATATATATTCCAGATATGTCCCTCCATCAAATAATCTTAATTTTATTATGCATAATTGTTTATCTCACATTCATCTTGAATAATATTTCAACGCTTCTTCAGTAAGTTATTTCGTATTTTTTGTAATTAATTTCCATTTGTTGCAATCACCCCCATAATAATGTTATATATATTTTATTATTTTATTGTTTCACTTCAACGTGACTTTACCGAAAGAACCAAGAATATGAATCACTGCAGTCACGAAAGCTTTAAATCAAAATTTAACGTATGAAATAGTTTTATAATTTCTCCATTTATGTCAGTGCATTCATGCCGAGAATTTGTTGTTTGTAAAACTTCGTCAAATGTCCCTGTGAATAACTTTAGTGAGAGGTTATCTTCTTGCCAGGCTCCCCTTTTGTGAAATGTTGTTGCTTTCTTCATGCAACGTCAGTGTAGCTGTTCCATTCGTGTGTATGGTTTTTTCATTTATGAATATATATATATTTTACGTAGGCCTCGAATTGTAATCATCAGTATCCACTGAGTGAATTTCCTTTTTGCAGTCCACAAAGGCTATAGCCACGATGGTATTTGATATTCATTCGTCTTTTCCCAAAATCGAATTGATAGCATGTATGTCGTCAATTGTAGAACAAAACAATATTTTACTAAATCCGACTGGCTAATGTAAATATTTACACAAATATATAGATATTGATTAAAGACGCTTGTGAGAGCAGGTCAGAGTGCTTTTGGAAAACTGAATTTGATCATGAAAAGCAATACACCAGTGTTCCGAAAAAAGGGCGTTTTCAGACATCGCATATTACCTGCTATGGCATATGGATCGTAAAACAGAGACACTGACAAATAATATTTAACAAAAGCTGAAAATATAACAGTCTGCCTCAGCAGCAGACCATGCTTTCCCACCTGATGACGGACGCTTGTGTTGCACCCGAAAGGTCGTGATTTATTTTATTTTATACCTACGTGACTTTACCGAAAGAACCAAAGAGTATATAAGGATAGGGTTTTCCCTTTTTTTCGGGCAACAAAACTGGAACCTTTTTACGAGGAATCATGTTTGCATTAACCACAATACTTGTGGTCAGAATGCAAAAAAACCCACACTCTGATAATACAGTGAGGGAAAAAGTATTTGATCCCCTGCTGATTTTGTACGTTTGCCCACTGACAAAAAAATGATTAGTGTATAATTTTAATGGTAGGTTTATTTGAATAGTGAGAGACAGAATAACAACAAGAAAATCCAGAAAAACGCATGTCAAAAATGTTATAAATTGATTTGCATTTTAATGAGTGAAATAAGTATTTGACCCCCTCTCAATCAGACCGATTTCTGGCTCCCAGGTGTCTTTTATACAGGTAACGAGCTGAGATTAGGAGCACACTCTTAAAAGGAGTGCTTCTAATCTCAGCTTGTTACCTGTATAAAAGGCACCTGTCCACAGAAGCAATCAATCAATCAGATTTCAAACTCTCCACCATGGCCAAGACCAAAAAGCTCTCCAAGGATGTCAGGGACAAGATTGTAGACCTACACAAGGCTGAATGGGCTACAAGACCATTGCCAAGCAGCTTGGTGAGAAGGTGACAACAGTTGGTGCGATTATTCGCAAATGGAAGAAACACAAAAGAACTGTCAATCTCCCTCGGCCTGGGGCTCCATGCAAGATCTCACCTCGTGGAGTTGCAATGATCATGAGAAAGGTGAGGAATCAGCCCAGAACTACACGGGAGGATCTTGTCAATGATCTCAAGGCAGCTGGGACCATAGTCACCAAGAAAACAATTGGTAACACACTATGCCGTGAAGGACTGAAATCCTGCAGAGCCTGCAAGGTCCCTCTGCTCAAGAAAGCACATATACATGCCCGTCTGAAGTTTGCCAATGAACATCTGAATGATTCAGAGGACAACTGGGTGGAAGTGTTGTGGTCAGATGAAACCAAAATGGAGCTCTTTGGCATCAACTCAACTCGCCGTGTTTGGAGGAGGAGGAATGCTGCCTATGACCCCAAGAACACCTTCAAACATGGAGGTGGAAACATTATGCTTTGGGGGTGTTTTTCTGTTGAGGGGACAGGACAACTTCACCGCATCAAAGGGACGATGGACGGGGCCATGTACCGTCAAATCTTGGTTGAGAACCTCCTTCCCTCAGCCAGGGCATTGAAAATGGGTCGTGAATGGGTATTCCAGCATGACAATGACCCAAAACACACGGCCAAGGCAACAAAGGAGTGGCTCAAGAAGAAGCACATTAAGGTCCTGGAGTGGCCTAGCCAGTCTCCAGACCTTAATCCCATAGAAAATCTGTGGAGGCAGCTGAAGGTTCGAGTTGCAAAACGTCAGCCTCGAAACCTTAATGACTTGGAGAAGATCTGCAAAGAGGAGTGGGACAAAATCCCTCCTGAGATGTGTGCAAACCTGGTGGCCAACTACAAGAAACGTCTGACCTCTGTGATTGCCAACAAGGGTTTTGCCACCAAGTACTAAGTCATGTTTTGCAGAGGGGTCAAATACTTATTTCCCTCATTAAAATGCAAATCAATTCATAACATTTTTAACATGCTTTTTTATTATTATTTTGTTGTTATTATTCTGTCTCTCACTGTTCAAATAAACCTAGCATTAAAATTATAGACTGATAATTTCTTTTTCAGTGGGCAAACCTACAAAATCAGCAGGGGATCAAATACTTTTTTACCTCACTGTATATACATTGTCCTTGAAAGTGATTGGTCCACACCAGAGACAGCTTTCTTTTGAACCTCGTCTCAAACAGTGCACAAAAGAAAGCTGTCTCTGGTGTGGACAAATCAGTTTTAAGGACAATGCATATATTATCAGTGTGTTTTTTGTTTGCATTTTGACCACAAGTATCGTGGTTCATGCAGACATGATTACTCGTGAAACGGTTTCAGTTTTGTTGCCAGAAAAAAGGGGAAAAACCCTATTATTATATTTTGGTACTGGCAAAGGAGGTCTCATGATGGAAAAAGCTGAAAAGTGTGCAAATAAGCACGGAGAGGTGAATGTTCTGGATTACACGAAGAGATAACAGGAGGGACATATAGATTTGAACATATGCAAATTAGAGACATCATAATGACTGTGAGAAAGAAAACAAATGACCCTGGGGTGGGAGACGTCGCACGAAGGGATGATGGCCATTGCTCGAGACTAAGGATGACGTGTCAAGCCAAAGTGGAGCACACGCCGGAGCGGACGACCACCACGGAGTTGGCGTGATACGCTCAGCTCGTGCGAAGAAGCTAGATCAGGGGTCGGCAACCTTTAAAAATAAGAGGATACAATTTTTTTGCTTTGACCAAAATAGTTATCGAACCGCATCACACGCAGAGCTACTTCTACACATACAAAAACACAGCAGGTATACAGCAGATGACAGACCAATTCTGACTTTAAAAAAAATAGGTGATTAAATAAACTGTGTCAAATCATTGTTTTCTTCCCTTATTAATTCTTTAACAATACAGTTTGACTGTTGTACATTTTGTTGTCACTAAGACATGCCACAGTGACCCATTCCCTGCCATATTTAACACGTTATTTTTACGTTAAATTACCTTTAACATTTAACTTTTTTTGTACCAGCTGCCTGCAAGCCAAAGAGCCGCAAGTAGCTCCCGAGAAGCAGTTTGCTGATCCCTGAGCTTGATGACTCACAAGACCATTAGTGATGGCGACGACTGTGTGAGGCCTTTATCTTGAAGTGTGTAGATCATGGCCAACGGTGATGATGAATCCGATCATGAGATTGCCAAGACTTGTGAAACTTCTCATCCTTAACTTATCATCCTCAACCCTGACATGTATGGGCAGTACATATGCACATGTTGTATACTGTATACAATTTAATAGAGTACATAGCACATGATACATTTTGAGTTGGCCTTTAACGTATCAATTTTAGTTTTAACAGTTTAATTTATCTAAGCCTATGTATGCCTGGCACAAAGACTTGGATAATTGTGAACTTATGCATGGTCCAAAGCATGCTAGCTCGTGGTTTCCATTAAAGGAGACCACAGCTATGCACTGTATTTGGGTCTCCATGTGTGTGTGCAAGCACATGTGTGCATATGCATCCACGTGTGCGCACATGTGCCATTAAAACGTTAAGTACATGGCACTGGGCACACGTACTTGCGTTCACATCTTTGTGTGAGAGCATATGTTACAATACGTGCATGTGAGAGTAGTGTAGCGCTTAGGGCGCTTCGCTGCCAAACTGGTGATCCGATTTGGATTCCCGCTTACGGTCAACAGCAGTGACGATTATCTGAACTGGTTATGGGCCTCCCCGAGGTCGACCGAGCCTCAAGTGAGTACTTGGTGCGATGTTTATAGGTAGACAAAGGCGCCAATCGTGGTGTTGGCCACCCAGCCCCTCGCGTGTCGCGCAGGGTTCTCACTCACAGCAATTGCTCCAACAGTCTGTTCAGGCTATATGGGGGATCTTTGGCTTCATGTCTGCAGATATGTGCATCTGTGTTTTTGTAATCGCCTGTATTCGTTCTGAGCATGTCATACCCGCTGGCACAATGACGCCATCTGCTTTCGGAACTCTGCATCTCGGGCCCCAGAGTCGACGTACTGCCGATACGCCACCTCAAACGCCTGCCCGATTGTCAACGCAATCTCCTTTGCCTGATCAAAGACAGCAGATGAGATTATCGATCGACATGATGTTGAACATTACGGGAAGACTTCTCAAAACAACGAATGAGATTCTTAATAATTATGCAATGTGTGGATGAAGTGGTTGCGATCACAAACATGTGATCAGCATGCGATCAGCATGTTTGTGGTGATGATGGAAGTGGTGACCATTTAATGCTTCAACTCCAACCGTATGGCTCCAACCGTATGTTCAGAGCTTTATTTTGAATGACAGGGGAAGTAGGGATTAAGCACGTACAGTATTTGCAGTCATAGGGATGCGTAGGGGACCATTCATGGAATAATTACACTATGTAACACAATTTTTGTTCCTGGGTAGTAAGTGTTATTTCGTAATTGCTTATGTCTAAAACGCATAGAAAATGGCTATTATTCCCCACAAACTTTGTTTTTGTGACCAGGACAGTGATATTTTGAAATTTACCTATTTTCAATGAAAAAAACGGGCAAATTTGTGTCTTTTCGTTCACATAAAGTCAGAAAAAACCCAAAATGAATCAAAATGAACATGTATTTATACTAAAGTAATACAAAAATGACTACAAAAGATTTAGTAGTTTTTCGAGATTTACGATGATACTGTAAATCACTTTCATGAATCAGCCCCCAAATGTAGTCTCCCATCATGTTCTCGTTATACTGTCCTTGGTAGCGGCGTTCAAAGTCCAGTATATCCTGGTGGAAGCGCTCGCCTTGCTCCTCCGAGTACGCTCCCATGTTCTTCTTGAATTTATCAAGATGAACATCGAGGATTTGGACTTTTAGGGACATCATACAGCCCATTGTGCCATAGTTCTTCACCAGAGTCTCAATCAGCTCCACATAGTTTTCTACCTTGTGATTGCCTAGGAAGCCACGAACCACTGCGACAAAGCTGTTCCAAGCCGCGTTCTCCTTACTATGAGCTACTTGGGGAATTAATTGCACTCCAGGATCTTCTTTATCTGTGGTCCGACGAAGACACCGAGTTTGAATTTTTCCTCAGACGGCTTAGGGAAGAAGTCTTGAAGGTACTTGAAGGCTGCCGAATCCTTATCTAAAGCTCTGACAAATTGTTTCATGAGGCCCAATTTGATGTCCACCAGTGGCTCCCACTTGACGTTGTTCCTCCCCACAGAGAACTTGGTCCGCTGTGGCCAGTCCCGCCTGTGGTAGTGCACCTTGGTGTCCCTGCTGTCCCAAAGGCAAAGATAGCAGGGAAACTTGGTAAAACCCTCTTGGAGACCAATCAGGAATGCCACCATTTTGAAGTCTCCGATGACCTCCTAGCCATACTCATCATACTTCAAGGCGTCCAGCAAGGTCTTGATGCTGTTGTAATCCTCTTTGAGGTGTATTGAGTGAGCCAGGGAAAGAGACGGGTACTTGTTACCATTATGGAGCAGCACGGCTTTGAGGCTCCTGAATGAGCTATCAATGAAGAGGTGCCACTCATTCTGGTTAAAGGCTATTCCGATTGCCTCGAATAGACTGGTCACATTATGGCAGAAGCAGAGCCCATCATGATAGTTGAAGAAGTTGCAAAAAGGTTGGTGACGCTTCCTCTGATATGCGACTTGCACACTTTCATCCAACAAGTTCGACTGCTTGAGACTCGACGTCAAAAGCTCGGCATTGAACTTGGTGAGACCAAGATCTCTGATAAAGTCGTTGGGTCTTTTTGGTTGGAGTAGTATGGGTATCTCTCCTCAGCTCCACCTCTGAAATTGTCATCTGGATCTACAACGTCTTCCTCGCTCTCTGACTTGCTGCTCTCTTCTAAAGACGGCTGCTCTCTCTCCGGAGGAGTGGAGCTCATGGCAGTGTGGCACCAGGGCGATGGATGAAGGAAGGTCTGGATACGTGATAGCAGGTGCATTCTTGCCAGTCCGTCGTTTGGAAGGGTCCACCATGCAGAAGTAGCAATTGCTTGAGTGGTCAGTGGGTTCCCGCCAAATTGTTGGGCTAGCAAACTTCATGGCTCCCTTTTCCCCTCTACCATCCTAAATTTTTATTTTTTATTTCACCCATGACTAATGTGCAAGAGAATCTCGCAACATTTTTCATATGATATATTTTTCAATAACATTGAAAATTGTAAAACATTTAAAAATGAAAAACGTTTACAATGATTTTTTTTAAATTGTATAACATAAAATTCTGAGCAACAATTGCACATCTTACCTTTCAGAGTTTTTTTTTGCATTGCTCGCAGGTGAAATGAGGTCCCCAGGGTTTGTATTGATCCCCGACAGGTATGCCGATATATGCCTTGTAGGCCTCACACATCTTAGCAGATTTTTCCACAGAGTACTTTTTCGCTCTTGTCTTGATAAATTGGCTGCAGACATAGCAGAGTGCGTCTGCCGGATGCTTGCAGCCTCTTGATGCCATCTCAGAAAAATGCAGATATATATCCACTTAGGCAGCTGGAACTAAACTGAACTGGTGGGCTTAAGGCCTCTATATTTATACTATTTATATTGCTGGAAAGTTCTAGAATGTTCCATTAGTTACTCCAAGTTTACTAAGCACTAAATCTATCTGGAATGTTCTGGAAAATCGGTAAATTTCAAAATATCACTGTCCTGGTCACAAAAGAAAAGTTTGTGGGGAATAATAGCCATTTTCTGTACTTTTGAGACATAAGCAATTAGGTAATAACACTTACTACGCAGGAACAATTTTTTTTGTTACACAGTATTATTAATGACAAGTTGATATTTGAAAGAGGTGTGCTCAGTGCATGCCAAAAATGTTTAACAAACACCAAAAATCAAACAGGATTCATGTTTGCCATGTATTATTAGATTCCTGAGTGAAGGCAGTTCAGTTTTATCTCGATGTTGCCATTTCACCCTTTGGGAAATATTTTTGTTACACTTTATACAGTTGCTACCATGTTTCTGTGTCACTCTGAGTATATATCTCATTGCCTTTGCACTCATAGAAGGCAAAAGAGAAGAATAGTGCACTGATATTTTCATGTTCAGTTGTGCAACACCGGCACAACAATGTATGTGGTACCTCGCAGCCAATGTGAAAAAAAAAATATGTTGAATGCACCAGGGGAATGCTCCATTTACTATGCCATGTTTGGCAAAATTGCACTGACATGTACTGCACAATTGTTAAAAGTATTCTACCTATTGAAAATACCTTCATATAAATACAAAATCTCAATTGCAACATTTGTCAAAAAAAGTTTACGATATAGTGAGAGCCCATCTTTCAAGGGAAGGGCAGCACCTGTGGTCCTACGAATCCAGTAACCTATGTTTAATTCTTGGCATTAACAATCAATCTTTATTTTACGTGCCAATATGGCCCTCTATAAAGTAGGCATCAGTGCATATTACAACAGAATGGGAACGGTACAGGGGGCACGGAGCAACAGGAATGAAAAGCAAAACCCGTCATGCCCGAAGCGGCTGACACCGACTGAGCAAAGTAAATTACAACCGCGCGCAAAATAAAGTGCAACCGTTCGCAACGAGTCGCGTAAGAAAGTGAAATGGTAAATACAAATAAAACCAATTAATTAAAAGTAAAGAGACAGTTTTTTTTATTTTAAATCTTAGCTAACATCAGTGGCGAGTGATATCTGAACCAGTCCTGGGCCCCCTTAAGTGTGGTGAAGCATGGTCAAAAAATCCCCATGACTGTGTATAGAGTGAGGGAATAAAAGTATTTGATCCCCTGCTGATTTTGTACGTTTGCCCACTGACAAAGAAATGATCAGTCTATAATTTTAATGGTAGGTTTATTTGAACAGTGAGAGACAGAATAACAACAAAATCCAGAAAAACGCATGTCAAAAATGTTATAAATTGATTTGAATTTTAATGAGGGAAATAAATATTTGACCCCTCTGCAAAACATGACTTAGTACTTGGTGGCAAAAACCCTTGTTGGCAATCACAGAGGTCAGACGTTTCTTGTAGTTGGCCACCAGGTTTGCACACATCTCAGGAGGGATTTTGTCCCACTCCTCTTTGCAGATCTTCTCCAAGTCATTAAGGCTTCGAGGCTGACATTTGGCAAATCGAACCTTCAGCTCCCTCCACAGATTTTAAATGGGATTAAGGTCTGGAGACTGGCTAGGCCACTCCAGGACCTTAATGTGCTTCTTCTTGAGCCACTCCTTTGTTGCCTTGGCCGTGTGTTTTGGATCATTGTCATGCTAGAATACCCATCCACGACCCATTTTCAATGTCCTGGCTGAGGGAAGGAGGTTCTCACCCAAGATTTGACGGTACATGGCCCCGTCCATCGTCCCTTAGATGCGGTGAAGTTGTCCTGTCCCCTTAGCAGAAAAACACTCCCAAAGCATAATGTTTCCACCTCCATGTTTGAAGGTGGGGATGGTGTTCTTGGGATCATAGGCAGCATTCCACCTCCTCCAAACACGGCGAGTTGAGTTGATGCCAAAGAGCTCCATTATGGTCTCATCTGACCACAACACTTTCACCTAGTTGTCCTCTGAATCATTCAGATGTTCATTGGCAAACTTCAGACGGGCATGTATATGTGCTTTCTTGAGCAGGGGGACCTTGCGGGCTCTGCAGGATTTCAGTTCTTCATGGCATAGTGTGTTACCAATTGTTTTATTGGTGACTATGGTCCCAGCTGCCTTGAGATCATTGACAAGATCCTCCCGTGTAGTTCTGGGCTGATTCCTCACCGTTCTCATGATCATTGCAACTCCACGAGGTGAGATCTTGCATGGAGCCCCAGGCCGAGAGATATTGATAGTTTTTTTGTGTTTCTTCAATTTGCGAATAATCGCACCGACTGTTGTCACCTTCTCACCAAGCTGCTTGGCAATGGTCTTGTAGCCCATTCAGCCTTGTGTAGGTCTACAATCTTGTCCCTGACATCCTTGGAGAGCTCTTTGGTCTTGGCCATGGTGGAGAGTTTGGAATCTGATTGATTGATTGCTTCTGTGGACAGGTGTCTTTTATACAGGTAACAAGCTGAGATTAGGAGCACTCCCTTTAAGAGTGTGCTCCTAATCTCAGCTCGTTACCTGTATAAAAGACACCTGGGAGCCAGAAATCTTTCTGATTGAGAGGGGGTCAAATACTTATTTCCCTCATTAAAATGCAAATCAATTTATAACATTTTTGACGTGCGTTTTTCTGGATTTTGTTGTTATTCTGTCTCTCACTGTTCAAATAAACCTACCATTAAAATTATAGACTGATCATTTCTTTGTCAGTGGGCAAACGTACAAAATCAGCAGGGGATCAAATACTTTTTTCCCTCACTGCATATATATAAATACGAGGTCTACCTCCGATATATAATACATAATGGTTTAATTTAAAACTATTTCCATTTTAATTTTATTTTACCCGGTAAGGCCGACTGAGCTATCGAGATATTTTTCAGGAGCGACCTGGCCACAAATGATAGCTCAATGAAGTGGATTATTACGTGGAAATGGAGAGCAAAGGAATACGTTAAACGCATGTTTCTAAATGTGGAGGGGAACACCGCAGTACCTGGAGAAAAATCCACACAAGCACGAGCAGAGCATGCCAACTACAAATATACAGGCCTTAGGGTCGGGATCGACCCCACAACCTCTGATGTTCTTTATTTGTAAGCATTTTACTGCAAAAGATTTTCATTTTAATAATACAATTAAAACATGCTATTAATGTATACAGTACAACAATAACATATACAATTATTAAAATGCTAATATTTAAAATTGAAAACTAAAGTAGGCGAAGTCATTCTATTGAAAGTGTTGGCTTATACTATTTATTTTAACACATAGGCTTTCGCGATCAATATCATCCATAATAGTTTTTTTTGGGGTTAGATCGCGTAAATATATAAATTATACATCAGATCTGATTTGGCTGTCGCCTGATGAAGCTAGTTGTAATTTCTGGCGAAATGTCGTACTCAGATTGTAAATATTGTGGCTTTGCTCTCCAACACACTGGTGTGCTGCTGTACTAGTGACGAATTGGCCATGTTCTGTTTACGTGACAAACCTTACTAATTGGCTGTGTCGGGTGGCGGCAAGTTAACGACATATTTATATATTTACGCGCTCAAACAAAAAAACATGTATTATGGATTATATTATTCATTAATATAAAAACTATTCTAGTGAAATAAAGACTTGAGGTATTATTTACCATTGAATACACGTTCCACATATATTTCAAAATGTAATTGTTGATCCAAGTTGGAAGAATGACACTCAATCACAATATCACTTCATTATAAGAATAGCTGTTTGAAAAAAAATAGCCCTAGTCAAAGCAACGAACAAAAGACTGGTGATGAGTGAAGAGTATTTTGGTCTACTTGATCTCCTTTCGATGGTCATGACTACTCTGATGTTGCCCCAAAGAGCCACAGGCAATAAAAAAAAAAACATTATTTAATATTATGTCAAAGCGAAGTAAATATAGCAAAGGCTAAAGAGCCAATTCATAGACTTGAAGATTGTTAAATTAACTGTTATCTATGGCCTTTACTCCATTTTGTAAAATTATAAATCTATTGACACCTCAACAGGGAATGATGTACCATAGAATATATATGCGGAACACATCTAATCAATGTACATAGGTATCTGGTAAGCACTAATCATATCTGTTAAAAGCTCAAGTTATTAATAATATGGTTTTATGAATCACTCGAATATTTTTTGGGCTACAAATGATGAATAAACTATTGTGACATTAGTGCAGGTGGTGTTTGTAGCAAACTATCAAACGCGGCAGATTGCATAAGATGATGGAATGGATTGAATCATGTATACCAAGTCATAATTTGCCTCCGCAGTGCCAGTATCCACACCAACACCAAACACTCTCATATGGTTGAATCGAACTAGCAGAAGCCCATTCGACTTTTTGTGAAATACTGTACATCTTGAGTCTCTAAAAATGTCCCATGTTCTTAAACGAACTTTACGTCACCCAGGTCGCCCTTGCAAAAGATGGAATGTTTCATGTGTCTCTATGGGTTTATGTTATCTATTGGTTAAATAAAGGATACTTGCTGGATCGTCGGTACCCTAGCATAATGATCTAATAACCACAAGATGATGTTCTATCCCACATACACACATGGACATGCACACTATATCAAGACCCCCCCTCCCTCCACCAGGGCCTTGAACAGGCTGGTTTCAGGCGGGGCCACCGCAATCAATACCAAGTCCTGATTCAAAACGTTGAAGATGCATTTTAGCCTGATGAGGAAAGAGGCACCCATCCCAGTAGACCTACTGCAGCCTATGACATTGTTTTGAACACTAGCCTCGCTACAAAACTGCTACGTACCGGAGGCATCATGAAAATGACCAGCAACTAAATACACTTCAGTTGCTGGTCATTTTGAGAGCAAAATAGCAGGCTACAAAGACTACGCAATGTTTCACTGCAGGGGTCTGTAGCCAGAATGAGGTAAAGGTGGCCAGAAATTAATCATATTTCTGGGTTTTTAGCATAATAAGCTAACACCTCACCACCGCCCACACTACATCACCGCCCATACTACACCACCACCCAAACTACACCAACGTCCATACTGCATCATAGTAAGTTATACCTCACCACCATCCACACAATACCATAGAAAGCTAACACCTCACCACCACCCACACTACACCACCGTCCATACTATGCCATTTTCTGCCCAAGCCCAATAATATAAAAGTCAACATGACTTGACAGTGTTATCATTTAAGTGTTCCCTTTTCCATCTCTAAGTATAGTTCCAAACATGATATTATTACACACTTTTCATATTTAACCATACACCACCACATGACGTATTTTAGCATCCCTGTATACTGCAGCAGTAAAAACAGGTTAAGGCGTGGTCCTGAATTTGCTCGCTCACGCCACTGCTGGCGAAAGGACATCAACAAGAAGTACCTCTGGAGAGCCCCTCAAGAGGGTATTTTGCCCGAAAAATGTCATGCTGGCTCGACATCTTGGGAGAAGTGGGTATACTCACACTTTACCGTAACCCTACTGACTGACCGTGGTGTACCCATTCCTATGCCTGTGTGGACAGAGATGTGCGCGCTATGGGAGTTCGAACCAGCAACCTCTGGAGCGCATGTTCACAGTCCTACCACTCATTACACCATGGAAACATACCCACTGTGGTGGTACACAGCTGTAATTCAACAAGTTCGTTGCTGACCTTTATCAAGGTTGAGTGATATGCCCTCAGTCGCATTATATTCCTTCAGGTACCGCTGTTCGATTCAACGTGACACACGTCCCCCCCTCCACCACCTTCCCCCATTGAAATTTTACTCAGGTGTTTTTGGGTGATGAAATGTATTATTTAATATGAATATGATTAAGGCCATCTCAAGAAATTCAGCAATGTAAGCCAATAGAAATGTATACCCGCATTTTAATGAGAGGGTCAAATTGACTCCCTCAAATAGGAAAGATATAGGATTATGAGAGCGTGTAATCACTATCCTGCCTTTTTTCTGGGACAGCCATTGTTTATTTGTTTCCTCAGACATTCTCAATGCCCTGATGGATGAAGGCCTCCCCATGCCACGTCGGCCATGGGAGTGAACTGATCTCATTTCACCATACTACTCGGTGCAGATTGGAAAAGAGGAGGTGGAACAGGTTCTGATATCACTCGCCACTGATGTTAGTCTTGGCCAGGAATCGAACTTGGGTATTTTGGTTTGTAGAGAAATACGCTAACCACTGTACCAATGCTCCACCCCGCAGGTTTTCCATTCAGCTTAGTCGTCACTGTTAAGTCAAATCAAAGTCAAATCAACAAACAATGGAGTTGCAATCATCCCCATTACTCAGAATAAGTCAATGGTGAAAATTCCACATCCCATAAAGTGGACGCCAGTCTCCCCATAGGATGATGCTATCAACACTGCCACATAAACCGAGTAATGCACATGAAGCCAGCAAGATTCATAGCACAAATAAAACTGACTCCATATGTTGCTTTGAATAGACTTACCGATGGCTTTTGCAAAACGGATGTGGGTGGAGTGACTCCTAGTGGCAACTCCAGAAATACACGACTGTCAAAAATAAAGGCCCTTAATTCCGTGCTGGTTAATTTACCTTTGAGACCAGTTCCAGTATATTTGCTACAAGTAGTCAAATGCTCAACACTCACGCATTTATCACTGTCAAATGCGTAGCAGAGGTTCCTGTTTTTGTCCACATCCCTGCAGACAAAGGCAAGCATCCTTTTGTCCACCTTGTCATCCGCGCAGAATGAGATATGGTTGAGTGGAATGCTGTGCAACAGCTCCTGTGAAACATAACATACGTAGGCACTTCCATTTGCAAGAAATACAATTCTAGGAACACATTCAAACAATTCAAGCATTAGGACCCTAATAATTGTTACATTAATTGCCATCGTAAAGGACACATTTAAAAGCACATCTGGCTCTGTTTGGAGCTCAGCTTTTACCTGCACCATGCAGGAGCATATATATTAATGTTACTAAGCTATATTTCTGAACGTTGGATTGAAGGAAAACTGGCGTACATATGAATGGAGATAACATTAACGACATCGTGATTATAATGTCCCATGGGAATGAACTTCAGGAAATGATTGAAGTACTTAACGGAGAAGGCAGAAAAAGTTGGGCTCAGGATAAATACGCGCAAATCAAATTGTTACGTAGAGCAAATTCGCTAAACATTTGGAGGCGTCTGACCGAGGGATACAACAAGAAAATTCAGTATAATGTGCACCCACGACAGCTATTGAAGGCAGAGCAATATAAAAATAATGAAAAAAAGTAGATGACAGCAAAATGATTGGATTTTGTTTTTAATCAGTACATACCATCTACCGTTGACACTGAAGTAATTCACAACAAAAAAATAATAACAAACTGAAAGGTGCACAGAGAAGCATGCAGAGATGCAGGCTTGGAATTGCGTTAGACACCATAAAAAGGCACATTTGGATTAGAGAACATATGCAGATTAATGACGACATCCAAACTTAGTAAAAGTAAATGGACAGGGCCCATAGCTGAATAATAATAGAATGGCAGTGGAAGGAATCTAACACATCTGAGGGGATGTCCAACAAGGAGATTAAGTCATTAAATCAGTTCATGTGCTGGTCCTGGATGGCTTGAGAAGGCTTTCATCCACCAGTGACTCGGACATGGCTATGATGATGACGACACTAATTTAGTCCAGCAGTATTTAGTTGAAATGAAATGTATACTTTAGAAATGTTAAGCAACCAAACTAAGAATTAATATTCCAGCTGTGTTGTTCAAAATAACAATGGGAATCATTGTAATTTCAATCATTATGAAAGCACTCAAATGTAGTGCATTCCATATAAGAATGCTATTTCGCAAAGAATAATCACATGTGTAACAATTTGTAAATACAGTCGAAGGCATTACAACTATTAATATAATTAATTATATACAATTAGAAATGGAATGTATATACAATTAGAAATGGAATGTATATTTTGAAGATAAAGGACATTCATTCTTAAGGACGCTTTTCCGAGGGCTAGTATTAAACATGGATATATTATTGTGGGGAAAAGGTCATGTTGTAATGATGACTACAATGGTACACGTGTTTCGGATATAAACACGGGTATCAAGGCATGCAGGAGAAAAGATAGGTTTTATTTACAAAGTCTCTAATGTTTAGAATTCCAATGATTGATTTTATGCCTCAAGCTTTTAATAGACTAGACCAATTACTCAAGGTATTTTATTTAAAGCTTTCGTGAGTGCAGGGATTCATATTCTTGGTTCTTTCGGTAAAGTCACGTAGAAGGGAAACAATAAAATAATAATATAAAATATATTGTTTTATATTTTTATTATTTTAAGAATGTGTCTGTATGTGTTTCAACATTCTTAATTGCTGTCAACCCAAATAGCAACATATTTTTCTCATTTATGCTACTATATATTCAGCCCTTTGTCAATCCACTGCAGCATGAAGGGCTCCCCATGCCAAATCACTTTGACATACACCTGGTCTCATCATATATTACAGCTAAGCATAGCTGAGCTAGGATAGTGTTTGAATGGACAACAACCATGTATAAAACAGGTGATGGAGGCTGCTGCGGGAATGCCTTGTCAGGAAAGGACAGCGGTAAAATCTATTGATGTTACGTCACTATGCTTCAACATATATGCTCCCTGCCTTCACTGCACTGACCAGCGTTGTTAAACACTGCATGATAAAACAACCCTTAACAACCCGCACAGCATGGGGAGGTCCTCATCCAGCAGTGGATTGAAACAAATGATATAACTTGTATACGATTAGTATAAATGCGGGGTTTGTATGTATGAGGTCATGTGTTATCTTAGTTGCATATAATAGATTATCTCTCATATAAGTGAGTGATATGTAAAAGCATGGGATACAACATGTCTAAATACAAGAGGGGTTGGGTAAACATATTCAACACTGCCTATCTGATTTAAAGCTTTCGTGACTGCAGGGATTAATATTCTTGGTTCTTTCGGTAAAGTCACGTAGAAGGGAAACAATAAAATAATAAAACAATAAAATTATCACGACGTTTCGACTGCAACACAAGCAATCATCATCAGGTGTGAAACCCACAGCAAGAAAATTTGAAAAAAGTGGCGGGGTTTTTTTTTTACGTTAGCACCACGGAGAGCGATTTGGCAGTTATTCAAATGGACGAGTCCATCTATGTTCGGAAAAGAGGAGGGGGGAGACGAAAATAATGGTTGCGGTCTGAAAGCCACCGTAAGCGTGAACAATCAATTAAGACCCGAAATGGTCTTTCAAATCCTTCCAATGATTGCTAAGCCAGAATCCATCTTCTCGGTTGAAATTGTCTGTGTTTGTATATGTGGATAGCCTCATGAACGAATCTTTCATAGTAGCCAGATGGCTTGCAAAGAACCTCTGTCTTGGAAAAGTCAATGTGATGTGAGCCTACTGAATTATAACAGTAATCTGCCATGGCCGAGGTGTTGGTCCTACCGTGTTTTAGGTCTGCTTTGTGTTCACTACTACTACAGAGGCAACTTAGTTTGTAGACGCCAGGGTACTGTAATGTCCGGAATCACATCTTTTACAGACGGAACCAGATCACGGATTTTATGTAATGTGTTGAATCGGACCTGGATCTTGTGTTTATTCAAGATTTTGGAGATCGTTTTTGTGATCACCGCAATGTAGGGTAAAGTGATGGTTTTGAAAGGCTCCTCGAGAGGGTCCTTATTCATGGTTGGAGTGATAGCTTTGCAGATTGTGTAGTTGGAGTAACCATTAGCGTTAAGAGCTTGGTGTACGTGCTTGAGTTCACTGGCTACGTGTTTCTGGTCAGATATGCATTGGGCTCTATGGTGCAGAGTCTTGATGAGGGAATTCTTCTGGGAAGGATGGTGGTGGGAATCCGGTTTCAGGTAAGCATCTGTATGGGTAGCTTTCCTGTAGACAGAGTGGCTCATTGAACCATCAGGTCTTTTTTTGTTAGGACATCCAAAAAAGGTAGAATTTTGTACTGCAGAGGTGTTTTTTTCAGTGAAAGGTCGCAGGATTTCGTCTCTACTATCAACTCCCCCACCTACAAACTGGCTAGCTTTCTGTCTGAAATCCTGCGGCCTTTCACTGGAAAAAACCACCTCTGTGGTACACAATTCTACTCACCTGGTATCGACAATCACGGGTATTTCCCTGTCCCCAGACGACCTGCTTGTCAGTTTTGATATAGTTTCCTTATTCACCAAAGTTCCTGTACCTGATACCATCGCAATCATTGAAGACTTGGTTCATCAAGGACTAAACACTGAGGTACCCCCCCTGGTGAGGCACTGCTTAACCAATATATACTTCACTTGGAATGGAACTTTCTACAAACATACTGAGGGCACCCCAATGGGCTCCCCCCTATCTCCGGTTGTAGCTAACATTTTCATGGAGAAATTTGAGACTGACGCCATCCAGACTGCCACTCTGCACCCAATCTTATGGAAGAGGTACGTGGATGACACTTTTGTCATCTGGCCACATGGCCGGCCTGCTCTCGACCAATTCCTCGACCACATCAATTCCATACACCCAGCCATCAGATTTACCATGGAAGTCGAAAAAGATGGCAAGCTACCTTTTTTGAATGTCCTAACAAAAAATAGACCTGATGGTTCAATGAGCCACTCTGACTACAGGAAAGCTACCCATACGGATGCATACCTGAAACCGGATTCCCACCACCATCCATCCCAGAAGAATTCCCTCATCAAGACTCTGCACCATAGAGCCCAATGCATATCCGACCAGGAACACATAGCCAGTAAACTCAAGCACGTACACCAAGCTCTTAAGGCTAATGGTTACTCTGACTACACAATCCGCAAAGCTATCACTCCAACCATGAAGAAGGACCCTCTTGAGGAGCCTTTCAAAACCATCACTTTACCCTACATTGCGGGGATCACAAAAAAATATCTCCAAAATCTTGAATAAACACAAGATCCAGGTCCGATTCAACACAGTACATAAAATCCGTGATCTGGTTCCGTCTGTAAAAGATGTGATTCCAGACATACAGTACTCTGGCGTCTACAAACTAAGTTGCCTCTGTGGTAGTAGTTACACTGGAGAAACCAAATGACATGTCTCGGACTGCATTCGTGAACACAAAGCAGACCTAAAACACTGTAGGACCAACACCTCGGCCATGGCAGATCACTGTTATAATTCATTAGGCTCACATGACATTGACTTCTCCAAGACAGAGGTTCTTTGCAAGCCATCTGGCTACCATGAAAGATTCGTTCATGAGGCTATCCACATATACAAACACAGAGACAATTTCAACCGAGAAGATGGATTCTGGCTTAGCAATCATTGGAAGGATTTGATAAACCATTTCGGGTCTTAATTGATTGTTCACGCTTACGGTGGCTTTCAGACCGCATCCATTATTTTCGTCTCCCCCCCCCTCCTCTTTTCCGAACATAGATGGACTCTTCCATTTGAATAACTTCCAAATCGCTCTCCGTGGTGCTAACGTAAAAAAAAACCCGCCACTTTTTTCACATTTTATTGCTGTGGTTTTCACACCTGATGATGATTGCTTGTGTTGCAGTCGAAACGTCGTGATAATTTTACTGTTTTATATTTTTTTATTGCTTCCCTTCTACGTGATTTTACCGAAAGAACCAAGAATATACTGTCTATCTGTTGAAATAAATATATTATTGCAAGCAAGCATTGATAACAACTAGGTAAAACATTATACCAAGAATTGGCATCACTTGG